AAATCGCCAATTGACGGTCCGCCCGTGACGTTGAACGCCGACCTTGCCAATTCGCCAGAAGAGAGCAAGTTTTCTACATCATTGGAGCCGCCCGAATTTGTTGGCGCCAGACCACCTTCACCTTCGAAATCAGTAGACGAAGGACGTCGCATGTCATCGCAGTCCCTGCGACCCGAGCTTTATTCTTCGTCATCTTATACCTACGGCAAACCCAGAGTCAAACTTGCCCCACGACCATCTCTCGACGTTGCCGGCCGTGCTCGCACCGGAACTGCTGCTGTGGGGGCTGCTTTCCGACCAATTTCGCAGATGCCCTCTGGCTTCAAGCTATTTTCCAAGGGTTCCAAAAAGGGAAAGTCCAAGGAAAATACTCTGGATCCTGCCGAACCAGCCCACCCCGACGAAACAACCGAAATCTCCTTGGCCGCCACTTCAATACCCCTACCCGACGGGGATCCCATTTCCCAGGTTGATGAACCCGTTAGGCCACACACGAGCTCAGGACGACCCACAACGAGCTCGGGCGCTTCAATTAAATCCGCGATGCCGTCCTTCACCACCCTTTCCGCCAAACAGGTCATGACGCCTGAAAAGGCGCGTCTAATGAAGGCCATGCAACTGAGGGAGAAGAAGAAGAAAATGAACCAACAATCCGCCTCCGCCCCTGTTATCGATGCCCCTGCTGAGGAGGTCGCCTCGGAAAAGGCTCAGCCTGTCGAACACATTGAGGAGATAACCGAAGAGACCCTGGCTGCCGAAGCAGATGACGACGTCGAACGTAAGAGACGACTTTCGGTCTCCAAGGCAGATTCAGGCATTGTCGTTGACGCATCGTCAGTGTCTGTCCACACCGACGTGGCCTCTGAGTTCACTCAGAGTGACTCTCATCCTGCATCGCCCATCATAGCATCTTCCGAACCCGACCAGTCGACGAAGGCGTCATCACTTTCCGAATCCACCGAAGAGACAGTAAAGGAGCTCGAGGAAGAGAATCTTGATGCTGATATGGATATGGTTGAGGCACACGAGCAAGTCGAGCGGGAGGCGGAGGTTGAGCAAGCTCATGTTATTGAAGAGGCTACGGCCCCTGAATCGAACGAGCCCAAGGCCGATACCAGTGAGAAACAGGACGATATCGAGCCGGTGGTTGAATCCACCCCCACGATTCAAGACGTAGTCACCGACCCCACCGAAACCAACCCAGTCGATGTTCCCGCACCCAAGGAAGCTCTACCTGCCGACGAGAACTCGATCGAGGACAAGGAGGAAACCCTCGCTGTCATACCACAAGGACTTGATGTCGAGCAAGCGGAAACCACTGGACTCGCCCAGCCCATAGAACCACAAATTGAGACTGAGAAGGTAGCAGTCGAGGCTCAACAACCCAAATCGCCCACCTTTAGCTTACCAATCTCCAAGTTTTCCACGAGCCCAACTCAGCCAAAGGCTCCCGTCGAATCGACGAAGCCGACTCCGCTGGATGTCAGCGACACCGTTTCTTTGCCGGCGGAAGTATCACCCAAATCGCCGCTATCTCCTCGCTCGCCTGGACTCAGAGTTCCTCGGTCCAAGTTCTCGACCCAGGATCTCAGGTCGGCTGCAACTGTCGAAGTTCCCACCATCGTGTCGCCTGAAGAACAGGCACCCACAGAGCCACTGCCCACTGCTGAAGAGGAAAACGACAGTGTTGCTGAGGAGACTCCGGTAGCCTCGGAGGCGTCCAAGCGAAGATCGCTCGTTGAACCGATCCGGACCGATCTGGAAGTACTCGAGAAGCGCGCAAACGACAACATCTCTGACGATGAGGACTTGTTAGATGAGCTGCATTCTGCTACAGTTGAGCAAGCACAGCATATAACTGTATCCAAATCGCCCATTACCCCAGTGTTTCCCAGCCCGACGATTCAGAACGCTAGCAGGCCGACGTCGCGCGGAGTTGTTCGCACCATTTCGAACCCAGTGCGGGGGCTCACGGCTGCAGATGTGGCTCAAGCCCAAAGCCAGAGATCAATCTCATCTGGCGCAGCCTTTCTGCACAAGATTACGCAGCAACAGGGCAACAATCACTTGAAGCCAAACCAGCCTAACAAGATTGGATCTAGCATCTCCCAACGTATCAAGGCTCTGGAAAAGCTGTCTGCCCATGCACCCGGTGTTGTCGAAGCGGACACAAGTAGTCTGAAGGCTCCGAGGCCATCCTCAGCATTCTTCGCCGTTAAGAGGGGAAGCGTCCGGGATCCGCCATCTCGTTCCCCTTCGGTTGTCGACAGGACGAGGCCTTCGACACGTGGCGCCAGTCCTGTCCCCCCTATTATGGCCGAGTCTGTAGAGTCATCTCCGGAGACTGCAGGCCGGGGTAGATCGGGGTCCATGGCAAACAGGCTCTCAATGTTTGAGATGCCTGGCAGCAATCCGCCCAGGGGCCGCCCAGAATCCATCTCCGTTACGGCGCGAATCATTCGCGACCCCAGCCAGGCTGGTAAGGCGCCGGAGCCGCCCAAAAACCCTTCCGAGTTCGAACGACTCGACCTTAAGGTGTCGCCTTTAGTTGTCGATCATCAGAAGGCTGAGCTCCCGCTCCCGCCAGCCAATCTGGCCACAGTGGAGCCCTTCAAGGAGACTATCCAAGAGCGAAGACTGTCAAAGGAGAAGCGCCGCTCTCAGTCCATTGACCCAAAGGATGATGTCGAAGAAGCTCCGAGGCGCTCGTCTCTCAGCATCATGAAGGACTTCATCAAGGACCGCCGCAAGTCACTCACTTCTCCCTCCACAGAGGCGTTGACCGCTCCTCTCCCCATGTCTCCTGGCTCAAAGTCTCCCTCAAGACCCCCTTCTACTCACGCGAATTCTGGTGGTCACAGCCGCCGTCTATCGATCAGCAGTCGTCGATCTTCCATTAGCAAGGAGAACGATTTGAGCGGTGCCATGTCTCCGTCCATGTTTACTGAGGGCAGCGGCTCTGGCGACGATAGCAAATCCACTGCTAGCGACAAGAAGAAGGGTCGCGCGGGTCGGTTCATGCGTCGCCTCTCGTCATCCCTGAGCAGTGCTGGGCGTGGTAAGACCATGACCCCGACTGCCATCTCTCCTACAGTTCAGGAGGAGGACGCATCAGAGGTGGCCCGCCTCCAGCAGCCTACCATCGAAGCTTTCATGGGAGATGTCAATGTCCAATTTCCAGATAACTTGCTATGGAAGCGTCGCAGCATGTGCCTGGACTCCCAAGGGTTCTTGATCTTGAGCGCCGTCGCCGCTGGCAACGCCGCCAAGAACAAGCAGCCTACAGGTGCCGGTGTCAAGAGATACCATCTCTCGGACTTCCGGGTGCCCTACATCCCCGACATGGAAATTCAGGAGCTGCCTAACAGCATTTGCCTTGACTTGGTCGAAGGCTCCGGCTTGCAGGTTGCGTGCGAAGATCGCGCCGGCCAGATGAATGTGCTGCACAGTAAGTCAAGGCATGGTCGCCAGATTTTCCACATTCATGCTAATAGATATTTAGTTCTTCGAGACGCGCATCAAAGCCACAGTTCCTTCGGGCAGTAAACACAATGGCGATACCCACCTACATTACTTTATCAAACCTTGGGACATACTTTTGCCCACCCTTTTCTATTATACCCCAAACTCTTTTTGACTCTTCTCAAGTACCCATTACCAACACGCCAACCGCCTTTCCTTTTTGTCAACATACCTTCTTACCATCGACCTCAACTCGCTCGCATGGTTCATTGCCTGCCTTCACAGCTCCAACATAACAACATACACCCAATACCAAGCGAGAGCAATGAGCGTCCGAAACGGAAGTAACTCATTCGCTACCCACTTCACACGTACCCTCACGCCTTCTATTATCAACAGGCAATAATTTCATGGCCAAACGCCATTTACACACACACACACTTGTGATTTCTTAATTTTTGCACTTCGCTTCAGTCAGGAAATGATACCACCCCTCAACCGGGGATTGTTCAGTTTGGAGACGCGTCATTTTTGGAGGAAGGGCCGGCGTGTGCTTGAAAGAGAACTCACTCAACGACCGGCCCCGGAGAGACGGAAGAGAAAAAGTCGAAGAAGAGGATCGCTTTTCTTTTGCAGGATCCAATCTTTGAGTCGGCTGGCGCGTTTGACGCCTCCTGTGTGTAGGAAAACTTCTGGACTGTACATACTACCCACCATCTCGGCGAAGAACAGCTGGAAGGTTTTATCTTGAGATAGACTTGGCCGGTTCTCTGCGGAGGCGTCAAAATGAGATGCAGATATCTGACTTCACCCTGGTGCTCCTTCTTCGTTATAGTTTGACAGTGAAGGTGTGGTGTTTCGGTCTTGTTTTGACAACACTCAGTTTCAAGGTAGGCTAAATGAACGAGTGCTTTGGGCTTGCATCGGCTGGCTAACCTTGTGGCACAGAAAGGGGACACGACAGAGTTGAAAACTAGTCAAAGTCACAAGCAGGGTACAAATTGATCAATGCAAGAACGGGTCTTTTGGAGGTCGTAACTATCGCTCGGAATGCCAATGGTCCACTCATCTCGCTCGCACGTCTCAGTAATGGGCATGCTTCCAGATCTCCAACGATCCCCAGTCATATCAGGAACCTGTCTGCCCCTATTCTCTCCTTCCACACTCTCTCGGATAGGATGTGGCAGCAGCCTGGCTCGTCGCCAATCGTATCGTTTCCAGCCTATGCGCGTATGCACTTAACCAAGCGCACCCAGCATCGCTCTGTCCTCCTAGTCAGATACCCTCCAGTTTCCGTGTCGCGGAATACAACTTTGTATGCCTCTTGTTCGTGGTCGTTCCAGGAGGAGCAGTGGCTACCTACGCTCGATATTAGTCAAGCGTTTTTTGGTCTCATCGTGAGATTGGCGAGAAGGAAGGAAGAGAAAGGAACGGCTGTCTTACCAGATTTGATTTTTTTCCCCGCAAGTGCTGGACGTTTGGAACAGGATTCGAAACGGTCACTCGTGAAGTTCAACCAGGAGGGATTTGAGCATTGCTTAGTTGTTATTATTGGCCGTACGGTTCGCACGAGCCTGCTGACGCGCCATCTGGCGACGCATGTTGCGGTTCTGAGGGGGGAGGCCAGTCGTCATGGCAGGCTCCTGCTGGTATCCGACACGAACGACATGGCCGTCGCGGCCGCGAAGCTCTCCGACGACGCGATCAATGGCCTCCTGCGCCTCGCGGCGCTGGGCCTCGGCGCGCTCCTCGCGACCCATGAAGAACATTCTGACGCGGCGGCGGATGAGGGGGATCCAGCCACCGCGGGGGCCGTACTCGCCGCGGAGGAGGCGACCGGTCCAGACACTGATGTCGAGGAAGTCGTCGGTGAGGTGGTCGGTGTACCAAAGGCAAGGGATCCAGCAGCAGCACATGGCGGAGATGAGGATTCCCAGGGGGATGGAGAGAGCGAGGGCCTTGGCGATGTTCAACAGCCAGTTGCCCGATGTGGAGAGGACCCAAGCGCGGAGAGCTTCGACTTCCTCGGTGGTGGTAGGCATTGCTGCGGTTGCGATGGATGTTGTTGACGATGAGAAGAGGCTTGTTGGAGTTGAGATTGTAGTCGTTGTGGGAGTGTTGAAGGAGGGAAGGTAAGGGCCTTCGCCCTGCCAGAGGTTAGGCATCGTTGGAGCAGAGGGTGGGAGGCGGACGGGCAGCCGGTAATTCGAGCAGTGGAAGGCGGGAGGAACCTGAGGTTGAACTTCGAAATCGCGAGAATCGTGAGAATCGTGAGAATCGTGAGCGCAGAGACGGTGCTGCCCGATGGTATCGAAGTTATCAATGGGAAGCGCGGACGTGGGTACCGTACATTGAATGCGTTGGAACCAAGGGTATTGTCTAGAGATATATGTTAGAGGATCGGTGTGATTAACTGGGAGGACTAGCACAAGAACTCACAGCTTTTGATGAGAAGAACTCTGATTCTTTGAGCAAACACAGGAGGAGAGGGATTCGATTATTGGTGTTTAAGCAGAGTGTTCGAGAGTATTCGAATGGATTATATGGGTTTGTTGAAGCTAGAAGCCTCGCATGCAATCGATGGACGGATGTGAGCGTGTGGGTGGGTTTTGGTGACCATGAAAAGAACAACATCTGGGTGGAAGAGTATAAAGGCTCGAGGTTTTTTGGGTACTCAACTGTGAGGAAAGGATATGTATGTGATGGAAGAAAGCAGCCTTCAGATGACGAAGGAGTCAACAATGGAAGAACCGGAAAAGGGAGGCAGGTACGCTATAAGGTAAAGAGGCAAGAACGACCTTCCTACCTTTACCCTCATGTTGTATTGCGTATCTACGAAGAATGGAGCACCCAGCTGATGTACGATATATCTGTGTAGAAATATACACCATACCCCATGAGAAGAGAAGCACCTACATGGCCAGAACACTTGGTACCCAAAGATCACAAATAACGCTTATTCTCCCCCAGAAACCCGGATATAGCCTCCCAAGCAACCCCCCTCCGCATCCCCGTCTCATCATCCCATGATGAATGAAGCCCAACGAGCGTCCCCGTCTTCCTGTCGACCAGCGGTGCGCCGCTGTGACCCCAGTACGTCCAGCAAGAATGCATTAGCGCCCCGATCTCCGAATTATCCTGCGGGTCCTGGCCCTCGGCGCAGCCCCTGAACGTGCCGGTGCTGAGGTGGAGGACGTTGTAGTCCGTCTTTGTTCCCGGGACAGCCGCCTCGAAGTCCTCGCTGCCCGGGTGGCCGACGCAGATGAGTCGGGCCTTCAAGGCGGGCGGTGAGGGGGAGAGGGTCACAAAGGGGAAACTCCCTGAGTGCGGTGGTGATGATGATGATGATGTCGGTCCCGAAGGTGGCGGAGATTGTTGTGCTGAGGTGATTTTCAACAGGGCCAGGTCTCTCTTGTCATCCCATGCTAGTGCTTTGGCTTCGACTACTTGGCCTGAAGCAAAGAGAAGCCAGTGGCTTTTGGAATCGTCAAAATCGTCAACGGTCTCGGCGATGCAGTGGGAGCAAGTGAGGAGAATGCCGTTGGGTGAGATACAGACTGCTGTGCCTGCTTCTTCCTGGGCAAAGACCAGAGTTGCCATGACTGATGAGGCTAGTCCTTTTCTTTCCATGTCTTCTGGGATATCAAGTGGTGTGTCTCTTAGTAATTGACGCTTCTTTAAGAGCAGCTGAATGCTTTTCTTCCCTAAGTCTTTGAGTTTGAGGCCGGCGTGGAGGACTTCTGGAAGAATATGCAGGCCTTCCACCGACAAGCCTGTCGTACTGTATTCAGGTTCCATGATGATAGAGTTAAGATTGTTGTTTGTAGTTTGGGATAGTCCCGAAGAGGCGGCCGCTGCTTCGTCCAATCTCGCTGTTTGTCTCTTCCTCCTGGTTGAGACTGCGGGTCTCCGTGTTTCCTCCATTATCACAATGCCGGGGAGGGGGTTCAGTAATGATATCAATCAACTGTAAAGAATCACCGGAGGATAACACCGAGTCGATGCTGAAGTATTAATTCGATAAGGCATTGGGCCGCAGGATTTGGACATTTCGAGGGCGGTGAGGCTGCTGCCTAATTTTACCGTGATTGGCTAGCCTCAACGGCACTTAGATCCGAAAGTGAAGTCAAAGTAGATATCAAACATTATTGGTTTGTTTTGCGGATCGAGAGCGTGGTTGGTATTTTATTAGCCATCAACCTGCTTCTCTGTCCATTCGCTAATAAGATTCTTGTAGTCCTCTGGGCCGTATGGTTCAGATGCCTCAGCAATCACGCCATTCTTCCTGTACACCTTTAACCCCAGATCGCCCACCAGCTGGTCGATATACGGCACAGCATCAAAAACAAAGTCTGGGAACTTGTCCCCGTGCCCGGCAGGGTACCTCCATTTGCAGAACCGACTGTGAAGCGCAGTCTCGTACCGCAGCTTTTCCATCGTCTCAGCACTTATTATGGCCTCGGTCACTGAGGGCATCTGGTCATGGAAGTAGGCGTCGATCCATAGTGATTGTACGTGGGAGATCATCGCCACGGTGAAATTCATCAACACGCCCGCGAACGCAATGTCGCGGTGTGCCAGCAGCTTGGCAGACGGCGGTACCATGAAGCGATGGAGCACGTACGGCGTGAGGGGTGTATACGGGTTGACGGCGTCTTTTGTCGAGATGCCTTCATCCTCGACGAGTGCCTTAAGCTTCTTGTTCTGAACAGGCTGATCCTTGAGACGCGGCCATTTCTCGAAAATTTCCTTGTCGATAGTCTCAATCATCTCGGCGGGCGGGAAACTTTCTGCAGAAGGCTTGTGCGGGAGACCGAGCTCCTTGTCGATGCCTTCGGGCAGGAATTTTATAGGCTGGAATTGCTTCCACCCGGTTGCGCAACAAAGAACGTCTGATGCCAGGGAAGAGCCGTCGGAAAGGTGGACGGTGCCTGGCGATAGCTTCATCAGGTCGGCAATATGCACCTTTACTGTCCCGTTGCGGATGAGATCGAAGAAATCCGTCTCGTAGTTCAGGATAGAGAAGCTGGAAGCCGTAAACATGGCCTCGCTCCACGGTTTCAGCTTCTTCAGCTCCGGGTCCGAATCAAACCTGTTCAGGGTAATGACATCGTTGCCGAGGACGCTCCAGAAGTTATTGGTGATGCCGCGGCCGATCGCCGTGCCGTGATAAAAGTTCCTCGTCTTGACGTATCCATCGGCGTCGCCCCAAGAACAGGGGCTGAACCATGTAAGGGCGCGTGTATGAACGAGCTTTTCTAGCCACTTCTTCAAGGGCGTGACATATGGGGGAGCCATCCATACTGGACCATGTCCGGATTCTACATTCTATTAGCATTGGTTGTAATGATTTTGCGGTGGTCATCTCGAGATACCTCTAATCACCCAATTCACATTGATGCCCTTGATCGCGTAGGCGTATACGAGATCCCAAGCTGATTTGGTACCACCAAATACCGTCACGGATTTTGCTGATTCCAGAGTGTCTGCGTGCTGAAGAAAGTCTTTGCTGTGGAAAATAGGGGCACCAAACGTCTCTTGGCCTTTGAAATCGGGGAGGAAGGCTTCTGAAGTGAGACCAGTTGCAACAACTAGCTTCTTTGCGAGGACCTGAACCTCGCCACCGTCCTCGCCGTTCACAAGAGTCAGGACCCAGCCGCCGCTCTCTTGATGCTCCGCCGAGAGAAGCTGATGCTTGAAGCGGATCTTGTCAAATATGCCAAAGGTCTCGGCGTACTTTAACAGATAGTCATGCAGCACTTGGCCGGGAATGTGATCTCCGGGCAAGATCCCGAAGGTCTCCGGATCCATGGGGAAGTCGGGGTACTCGTAGGTTCCGAGCATGTTGTTGCTCTTCAGCCCCGGGTAGAGACGGTGCTCGGCCCATACTCCGCCGGCGGTCGAGGCTTGCTCGAAGAGTGCCAGCGAGTGTTGGGGATGGAGCTGGTGGTGAGTCTTGGCCGCCGCTAGACCGAACCATCCTGTAGACTCGGCTTCAGATTGTGACCTTCGTTGGTGGTTTAGGGGGATGTTACTCACCGGCTCCGATAACGACGAAGTCGAGAGTCTCCATTGTGTAGAGCGGGATCGGTTCCGAGCCCCCGAGGTCGATGCTTCTGAGACAATTGAACAAATATTTTTTCGAGGCGTTTATTTCGAGGCGAAGATCCTACCAGTGCGGGAAAAGGGTTGGGCATGCCTTCCTCGCATTCTGAATTGCGAATAAGCACTAGAATTCTGTCAGAACCCCTGGCCTGCAGACGAATATGGGAATATTGGGTCTTTCTTGGCCAGCTGCATTAATGATTGATTTGGCGTTGGTTGGTCTTCTGGCATCTGCATCCTTCGTGGATTTGGGTTCCATATCCGAATGGCCAACATTGAGTGCTGATTCGTCAATGGTCGGGAATTCTGCATGCCCCCCTTGCTGTTTCCATCTCCCACGGCATTTATCAATTCTTCAAGAAGTTGTCCATCAATTTGCCGGCCGGCGACTTGCAGTGGAGCAGCATTGTCCGAGTATGAGCATCCTGCTAGCTGAAAAATAGCGGCACAAATAGTGATCAAGGCTCAAGCCTCAAAGAATCCCGTACCTATGAAGGATCTTGATGGGAACTGCGCTCAGGCGGAGTCAAGGATGCCCTGACGTCTAGACCCAGCCGGAGGCGTTCCCCGGATGACAAGTTACTGTTAGCACAAAGATAAAGACCCACTGAACTAGATGGGATGGCAGCAGGGCCGTTGACTCGTGGTGGACTCGTGGCGGAGGAGGACTGCCTGTCACGTCTAATTCGCCGGTTGCGCAACACTGACAATTTGACAAGGAGGCTGTCTATGGCAGATCGAACTGCGTCGGTTTGGGAGGTTTGTGGTAATGAACAGCATAGAGGTGAGTAAGGATGCTTTTTGACTGCAAGATAATGAAGTTTGCTGAAGTCAGATGCTCGTGCCGAAACAATGTTTCTCCAGGATGAACCCCTTGGGGTACCGTCGCGGTGGTACGTAGTTTAACAACCTCAAGACGGTTTAAACCTATGGGACGGTGAAGTGTAACAAGTCATCCATTTTCGGGATACAAGCACGACCACTAAAGCATCTCTGTCCGACTGTCGCTCTTCTATTGGAGACTTCTTCAACGCAGGTACCACTCGTCATTCTGAAGATATCCACAGTCGTTGACACGGCTCGCAAGGGTCCTATCCCCGGCGCCGCGCTTTCTGACCCCAGGTGTTGGCCCACGGCCATGTAACCCTCGCGAGTCAAGGCCGTGCCCCTGGCCCATAACACTTCTAGCCAACGACAGACTAACAATTCGACAGGGCTGCTAGTTGATGTTCGGAACTTCCGTAATATCAGATATGGTGTAAATGGTCACTCTTCTGGGACACAAGACTCATGTCAAGATATCTAGCAAAAGATCACGAAAATATGACCAGTATTCAGGCCTGGAAAAGGGAAAGGGGTAAAGTAACTGAGACGTCACAGACAAGTTAAAGCCTGGTTCTAAGGCGATGGTCGCGCAGGATAGCTCCAGCGCTGAAGCATAAGCATGGATGTGCTTTCAAGAGGGTCGTGTTTGCCTTGCCATCACGCTGAGCTAATGATCTGCCGACATTGTCTACGTGCATTAGCATTGGGATTGGTCGTATTGGGCATCATTATGGTGGCAAAGGCCGACGCTTGACCATATCGGTAGTCTGGACCTTCGACGAGCCGCATCGATGTCGGCCAGAAGTCTGTTAGCTTTCGATCAAATGCCATCAAGATAACATATCCGTATCCGTAGAAGGGGGTGCTTCACCAAGCAAGCGGCGAGCGGGACTTGCAACCGCCGTTAGTGCTTTCTCCTGAACATAGTGGCGAGCCCATTTCGGCAACTTATCGTAATATGGAATAGTCCACTTGCTGTCTCAGCCTCTCTGCCTGACAGCTGGTTGATTACCTATGTACTCTGTACAATTATGTATCCGTACAGCAGACAATTGACCGGCGCAAAATCTACTCTGAAATTGGCCGGGGATTCCAAGTCGCTGGCCCGGGCTTCTTATCGTCCGAACTCCTCGCGCTTGTTCGTCTCAATCATCACCTTCATCATCATCACCGGTTCCGTCAGCCGTGTGTAACCAAACCACCCACTAGCTATTCGCACGTACTTTGGGTTTGCTAGGGCATGTGGTTTGTGTTTCAGCGAGGGGAACGGATATGCACGTAAGCGCACCCTTTCCCAGCACTTCCCACGAGCCGCCCATGCCGCTTGTGTCCAAGTCAAAGTCTCCGCGGTGACGGGGGAATGCGACATAAGTATCGACATGCGTACGCCTCCCATCCAATTCCGGGACCCCGGTCCCTTGCCCTTGCTGGGTTCGTTCTGTAGTAGCTGCGATCTGCATAGCTGAAAGGCAGGGCCCTCGACGACCTATTCCCCAAAAGTCTTATCTGGGTTTCACTGCTATATACCTTGCCTGCTCTACGGAGTACTCCACCTGGCATTACTCTTGAAGACGACTTTTCCCCTTCTTCTCTACTCCATGCTATTAGACTCGTCGACTTCCTGCACCACGCGGGGTATCCGGTTGACATGATCCCAACGACATGTCCGAATTCTCGACAGAAGCTTTCGCGCTTCTTGGCGTAGCCATCGCCGTCATCTTCTTGAGGACCTATGCGCGAATTGCCGCTGTTGGCTTCAAGCGTCTGCAGGCAGATGACTATCTCATGCTATTTATCATTGTAAGTCTCTCGATAGCTGTTGACCGGTATGAGTACGAGATACTGACTGGAATGCATAGTTCACGTACTCCGCCGAGACTGCTTTGGCGTACAGCGTCGGAGCGCATTGGAAGGGACTCGCCAACAATGGCATGACGGATGAGGAGCGGAGAACTTTGGACCCAAACAGCGAAGAATATTCGACAAGGTAGGGCGATGAATAATGCTATGTTTTGAGGCAATGGTCTAACATCATACTCGCAGGGTCAACGGATCGAAGACACAAATCGCGGGATGGATTACTTACAGCTGCCTCGTCCTCTGGCCTGCAAAGGCTGCAATGTGCACGTTTTACCTGCGCCTAACAGTATGGAGCCCATAAGAAATCAATCATGCGCTTTAAAGCTGACGAGTCGCTCAGGAGGGATTGCATAACTTTCGCAAGCGGATCATCGCGGGTTTCGTTCTGATCGCGATAACATGGCTGGCAGTATTGTTTTCCATCACCTTCAGCTGCTTTCCGATAAGCAAAAATTGGCAAATCTACCCAGACCCTGGCAGTAAGTCCCGCATAACTCTCTCATATGTCAATGACTAAAGGGCAGCCAGACTTTTGCCAGCCGGCCATTTCAAAAGTCAACATCATCGTCACCGTCTGTCTCAATGTCATCACGGATTTCTACCTGCTAAGCATACCGATACCGATGCTGTGGAGCGCCAGGCTACCCCTGAGACAGAAACTCGGCCTCATTGTCCTGTTCTCGGGAGGTATCTTTGTAACTATGGCCGGTATCCTACGCTGCGTGCTCATCATCACGGTAGGCTGATCCCCATGCCATACATACGAGGCTCGATAGCTGACTTGTGCGCATCGCAGAACCCTGTCACAGGAGCGCAGCAGGCAGGTTCGTGGGCCGTCCGCGAGACCTTTGTCGCAATCGTCACCACCAACATCCCGATGATCTTTCCCCTACTTCGACGCTGGCTCACACCCATCTTCGGCTCCATCTCGAGTACCCTATCACGAGGTGGCACCAACAACAAGTACGACAAGCCTAACCGTTCCGACCTACCGGCACCCGGGAGCATCATGCTTGGAAGCGTGACGGAAGGCAGCAGTAATAAGAAGAAGAACCGGCCGCCATACACGCAGTATCCGATTACAGAGTTTACGATGTCCGGGAGCGAGGAGCACCTGAATAAGTCGCCACCTTTGCCGGGAGGCATCAGCAAGAATGTGGAGATACATATCAAGGAATCGAAAAGGGCTAGTGAGAAAGATACATCGAGTACAGACAGCAATATCGAAGGCCGAGACGCATACTTTACGGTCGAGGTGAACGGAGTTGAGAGGCCAAAAGCAACGAGGAGTAAGAGCTATCGAGAAAGCATGCGATCTACGTTCTCAGCGGGCGGTAATAGGAAAGACGACGGCATTGTATAATATGCCTTAATATGGAATTAATCACATGATATCACCGCCGCACTCTTATAGTGATCATTCAAACGTTTCAAATGCCAATAGTATGGAAGTGTTTGGTAAAAGGCGAAATGACTTGAGGTCGGCCACCCTTTCGCTGAGCATTGCATTGCTGATGATTAACAACTCCCCCGTGTACTAACTTGCCATAGGTTAAATGAACCGGCGAGAGAGACTGGATAAAGGAACGTGAACTGAATAAGTTGAAACAGCATGACTTTTGGCTCTTCTCTCCAAACGCAGTAGAAAACTTGCTTCACCTCCCTATCCAACATCATCCTCCTGGACTACAATCAACTTAACTTCCCTCAATTCCTAAATCATTTTGCTCTGCAGTCTATAGCAACTAGCATCGATCGCACCGTATCGGATCCATTCCACGACCTCAAACCCAGCAGTGGTTCTCGCGACAAAATGCACAAAACCTCCCCGCATCAACCACCACCACCCCGCCATTCCGATCCAACAGGTTCCTACAGAAACACTCCCCGCAACGACACCGCTGAGGCTGCCACGGGGTATCACACGTATCAACCCGCGAGGCCTGTAAAGCGGGAGGGGTCAGTATCCTGGCCCGAAGGTGCGGGTTGCCCGCCTGACGACTGAGGCGGAACGGCAAGGCGGGCAGATGAGCGTGTACTGAGGGCGGAGGTGGTGACGGAGACGGAGCGTGTTGTCGGCGCCGGGGTGGCGTCGGGGGTCGAGCTGTTGCGCTGCGGTCGTTCATGTCCTCTGAAGACGAGGATAGGAATGGAGAGGTGAGGGGGGATGATCCGGGTGTTGAGCGGACGTAGTCGGGGACGTGGTTCCGGGGGTGGCGGTGGTGATGGAGTTCCGGGGTTATGGAGTCGTCGCTGAAGGAAGGGGATTGTGATGTGAATGTTTCGGATGCGGGAGTCGGTAGGGACGTCCAGGACGAGTCACTTACCCACTGGGTTTCGGGGAAGACTGGCGAGGGCTGCTCGTCGTTCTCGATGCTTGGAATGATATCGAATGACGTCTCTGTTGGTTCTTCTCTCTCGGGGCGTAGTCTGGACCTATGGGCGTCTCTCCATGGAGAGGGTAGATAATGGGCTGGGAGACGAGCGCGTTGTGTGGTCTCCCAGTACGAGGGGCCGGGAGGCCAGTGGATGTACGACTGCGTGCTGTGACTGTGCTCGTCATCGCTGTTGTCTCTGTCATATCTTGGCGCTGCGTAGCCCAGGTAATCGCATCGAGGATCTTCGAACGTCTCTTGTTCCTCATAGTGGGAGTTTGAAGGATGAGGTATGTTGCCAAAGAAGGGTGAGCCCTGCGACGGTGGGAATGGACTGCGGGCCGGAGACGAGAGTTGAGGGTGACGGTTGCGGCGGGGGGTAT